AGAGCATTTCACATGTGTTTGTGAGAGGTAATTCTGAATAATGTCCCTGACGGCCCCTCATATACCTGAGCTCCCACTTTGAGTTGGATCAGTCTGCTGACAGGACTGTGAGCGTCTATAGTCTTTACTAGGGCCGGATCGCTGTCTAGTGCCTCAAACACTCTCACTGACCCTAAGGAACAGGGAACAGATGATTAATAATAATAATAATAATAATAATAATAATAATAATAATAATATTAATATTGATAAGGCAGTCCGTTTCATATATAAAATATGATGGAGGACAGGCAAACCCAGTATGAAACCACAAACAAGAAATCATGACAAATGTTAGTTCAGCCATTATTGCCCAAAAATCTTTTAACCTTCTACCACAGCAGGTAAAACACACTCTCCACTGTTTTCTGATGGACTTAGAGCTTACAAATTAAAAGTATACCCCAACAGGAGTCAGAAAACAAAGGTAAAAAAAACAGGAGGAGGAAACAGGTTTCAACAAGGTTGCCATACGTGACGCAAGCCATAGCTGACAACTTTGCCAATTTTCACCTGGATCCAAGTTAAACGAGGTAACACCTGTTTCAAACAAAAAAAAAAAAGATCAAAACGGAAGAATTCATACCTGGCAGCTGCAGGAGTTTGTTCTCATTTGTGAGCTCCACGTCGTCCTTGTGTGTGCACAGCCTGGTCGCTAGGATCCCGTCTCTCTCGATGTGATGGTAGGCACTTTCCATCAGCTTAGCAGTGACTTCCTCTGTCACCCTGAACAGTGTTAAGACACAACTTGATTAAACTTTTCCTTTAGAAAAAAACACTGACCTGCTGTCTGCTGCCTGAAAAGCTTGTAACTGCTCTAAATGCTTTTATGTAACATACATAACTGGACAATGCTATATAATGTACATTTGGCATAAAACTAAAAATAAAGAGTTTGTGCACTGGGATCACATCAGCTTTAAAAACACATTGCGTTGTGCTTGAAAATTGGACAGTGCTCACTGATTTACCTGCCCACCCTCACTGCCTGCAGGAGGGAGATGAAGGACTGGTCTGTTTGCCTCCTCACTTCTGTTAGCTCCATGTTGAGCTGGATGACTTTACGCCAACTCCTGGCCTGAAGAGGGGAAAGAGTCTTTTTAATAGCATCTATTTATGCAGATAAGTCTGTAGGGCAGATGCTGACTCATGAGAACAGAATACACTATCTTTAATACATGTTAATGACTTATTACAGTGCACTCACAAAACCAGTTCCGTACGAGGAGTACACAAAACATTAGTTTTAGATAGAGATATAGATAGATAGAGAGATAGAGAGATCGAGATCTAGATAGAGAGATAGAGAGATAAAATTGATTAATGTTGTTAAATTGTTCTGTTATTTCAACAAATAGAGAAGTTTTTGCATCCATGATGGTCTGACCTGAAAGCAGAAACTAGCCTTTTCCTTTCCCTTCGAGACAGGAGGCAGCTGGAGGAAGTCCCCACACACGATCAGCTGGATGCCTCCAAATGGTTCAGTAGACCGTCTCACTGACCTGCACGAGTGCAGAGATGTGGGGGAACAGATGAGGGAACAGTGATTATAACTTCTATATGTCTGCAACTAAGGACAGTTTATTATTATTATTATTATTATTATTATTATTATTATTATTATCTGGAAATAATGAATGTTTGCCATTGTTCTGTCATATATGATGACCTTTATAAGACATGATCCATATGTTTGTTTCCATGCATAATATTTCAATATCATTTAGGACCCACAGGAGATTCAGTTCATGAGGCAGTGCTGACTATATACAAATGTAAGATTCTTCGAGCATGGGCAATAAAACAGACCATACTCCAAGAATGTATGTATTACATTAAATCCATAGACAGAGTTCCTTAAATCTTTCTGCACCACTTGACATTCAGCAAGACTTCCTGGGTTTCTGTTTTTTGTATATCTTAACTGTATAGCCTAACTAAAGAGCGCCTGTCAGATCTGCCATTAGAGCCATGCAGTGCTTCCTTCATCCTCTTAACACCCTAACCTGGTGGTTTTGGTCCATTTGTACATGTCTCACATCAGAGTGCTGCTGAGCGTCTCGGGAAAACCTAGGAAATGATTATTCTAGCTGGAACCAAAAACCATAATACACAATAGGAGTGATATCAACAACTGTGCTCAGACACTGTCAGTAAAAGTCAGAGGAACACCATGCCTAAACTGATAAAGAGGTGATTTCAGTGTGTTCAGTTATAAGTGTCTCAGGGTGTGTTTGGACCAACTGAATTTAAGATTTTGTAACCAATCGTTGAAACACAGTATGAATCAGTTATTAGACATTTCAAACTCAGGTTAAACATTCAAGTCTTCTACTTAACGTTTCAATCTATTGTTCGAACCTTCAAATCTTACTTTAACCTTTTAAAACAGATTTCAGATGTATGAATTATGAATGGGGAGGAGTTTACCCAGCACCAGCTGTCTGACAGAGCTTTAATGAATTAAATTATATCAATCACCAGCGACTACACTTTGTATAATTTGTGTATTATGTAAAGATGTCAAGAAATGTTAAATTAGTCAAATTCATCATTAGGTTCTGTGGTTAGGACCAATTCAAATCACCAACGCAGTTTTCTAAACATGATAGAAAATCTTTTCAGGAAAGCTTTGGATATAAAATACTTATCATGCAGTCATCACTGTGCTTTGATGAAGATTGTTTTTTGGTTTTGATAATCTATGATACATGTTCACAGCTTCAACACTACTGTAAATCTCATTGTAATTTATGTTTCAGTCTCATCTCACCTGGCCACCGACTCAAGCTTGTCAAAGAACTGGGCCTCCACCATGGAGACCTCGTCGATGATGAGGTGTCGACAGGTAGTCCAGTGCTGCAGCACCCCGGGCCTCTGAGCCAGTTCGATACATTGCTCCAGTGGTGCAGAGCCGGAGCCAATACCTGGAAAGAGCACAGAGTACAGAGTAGAGAGGATGGAAAGACAGATGGTCAGTGGGGACACAGATGAATAACATCTATGCAAATACTGTTTACTCCCTTTATTGTATATTGAGATTTAATTAACAACCTCACCATTAATTTGGAAAGACATTAGACACCTCCTGCTTGATTATATGAAAGATTCATAATCTGTAATACGCCATCGCGCAGACATTGTAACGGAGTCTAAGGCTGCAGATAGATACAAGATACAAAGACCTTTTTCTATTTAAGACATTGATAAGTAGGACTGAAACATTAAGTTGATAATAGTTAACAGTTTTGATAATTTACTGTCATTTTTAGGGATGTAACAATACACTCAACTCACCATTTTAAATCAATTTTTTTTATTTTTATAAATTTTTATTTTATTTTACCCCTGTGCCATTTATGGTGGGGAGGTAGACTCATATTTATCAGCCTATTATGCAAAGGCTGATGATTTTCAACCTAACCTCCAGTATGGAAAAATAAACTTTATAACAAAATATTTTTTTTATGACTGAGGAAGATTTTCTCAGACAAAAATCTACAAGATATTTTTTTAATCAATTTATAGAATCCTTTAATTTCCATTTTATCTCTGAGGTTGGGTATAAATGATGCAAAACAATGCATATTTAATTTTATGAAGTGAAAATTATGTTTTTGTGCCTTGATACCACGACTGATTTTTCATCTAAGCCATTTGAATCTTCACATATTTGTATTGTGATTTATTATTTTATTTTATTATCTGAATTATTTATTCAGAGATATTTTTCTAAGAAAATCAAATTCACAGGTCCAGTTTTGAGGAGTTTTGTCTTGTTGTAAACTGAATGTCTTTGGATTTTTGGGCTGTTGGTTGGATGAAACAAGACATTTCAAGGTGAAACCTTGGGCTCTGGGGAACTGTGAAAGACATTTGTTTCAATACTAAATGATTAATCAAAAAAAATAAATCAACAGATGATTCAGTAATGAAAACACCTGTTAGTTGCTTTATTCTTTTCTTCTTCACTATGACAGGCGTCTCAGTAGAACAGAACAGGCTTATTTAAGGATTGGCCTTTGGTGAAACTGGCAAATTGACCAATTATTTAGATAATGAACAATTTGACATGCTAATGTACAATTTGACATGCTAATATTGGGGGGGAAATAACCTCTCTCACCACTAATTGTGTCATTTCCAGAGACACAATTTGTGTCAGTCTTGCATAAAAAAAATTAAATAAATAAAAAAAAATTACAAAAAATCTTTTTCATCTCCTCAGAGACCCAACAACTGACCAGCAAAGTTGTGTAGCGTTGTTCCTCCAATGTGACATGCAGCCACTCCTGTGCTGGCTGTGGCAAAGGTGCTCTTTGGAGGAAGAGATCCCATGATCCTCTTCAGTAGGAAGGACTTTCCTGTACCTGAAAAACACACATCCAATTGAGCTTAACACAGACAATTTCATACAATTATACAAGTTGTTTATCGAAATTTTTTATATGTTGTTTATATGAAATGTTAGACAGATAGTCACTGATAATTGTTGTCAAAGTGTAACTTACCTGCGCTTCCAGTGAAGAAGACGTTCCTGCCACTCAGCACAGCACTGAGAACAGCTGCCTGCTCTTTATTCAACTTACGTGATGGCAGAGACAGGATGGGCTTCTTACTGGGGTTGGCCTTCACCTGAAATAATCAACACACAGCATTTAACAGATTAGACCCAAAGACAGAGAGCATGGACTCAATCCAGGGAGGAAAGTGTTGATGCAGCAGTCTGCCACAGATAGACACTGTGATGTTTTATGTGTGTGTTCAACTCACTGGGCTGAAGTTACAATCACTCCTCTGCCTTTTGACCTGCTGCCCTGTTCCTGCAGCAGTCTTATTGGTGCGGTCTGCCAGCCCTTTGGGAGCCACTTTACTCCTCAGCTCGTTGACCTTCTGGATGTCCTTCTGCTGCAGGGGACTGATGGCCTCGAAGCTGCGGGGCAGAGCGGCTTTGAGCTTCTCTCTGTCGCTCAGAGGCTTGCTGCTCAGCCAGGCCTGGTGCTTGATGCTCAGGGTTTTGAGGAAGAGGTTCAGCTGGTCGGGAGGGCAGTTGGAGATGAGCACCTGGATGTTTTCAGGGAGAAGTTTGACGGTGCACTTCCCGTCTCTGGCGAACTTGGTGAAAAGTTTGAACTCTTTCAGGCGGTAATTTTGCGGGACTTTTCCGTCGTGGACCCGGAGGAAGATCTCCTGGAACTCATTCCGGCCCAGGATGACGGAGGCTTTACGGATGACCTGCCTCCGGGTGGCCTGGCCGGAGGAGTTCAGCTGCTCCACCGTCACACAGCACTGCAGCTGGGCCCCGTCATCCGCGGATTGCATCGCAGCAACTTTCTACCAAATACAAGCGTTCATATGTATGAATGAATGCATGCTTCAGGCGGTTTCATCTGAAGGTTTAAACAAAACATTACAGAGCGACGGTGCGTGAAACAAATAAATTAAATAAACAAAAGTGCCTGAACGGAAACAATGTAACACCGGCGCAGCTGTGTTTCATTCAATCAGCACAAAGCTCGTAATGTAACTATAATGTAACTCGACTGCTTTATCGACATAAACTTTAAATGAACAGGAAACTTTTTAATTCAGCTCTTACCTTTGTTTTGGTTTTGTTTTTTTTTTTTTTAAAATAACTATGTAATCTTTGTCTCTATGCAGCTGCGGATCCACCGTCTGTGAGCGTGAGCACCGATTTTGAAATTGTCAGTGCCTGAAATCAGCCAATAGCTGAGCGACGCTCCTGACCAATCAGAAGGACGAGCTTTAACACAGCAGCCAATGAAAGACGAGAATGGACCGCCCCGTGGCTGCACCGACCAATCGCTGGTATTGTGACTAGCCACGTCATATTTGTGTGAAATACGCATGGCTATCCGGAAGTGGAGAAGAACTTCACAATAACGACGCGTTTGTCAAGTTAAATGAATAAACTATAGTCGGCCTGTTGAAGTAAAACTCAAAGTGAAGTTAAAACTAAAGTCAAAATTCAGTATTGTACAATATTAGTAATTATAATATAAATCCAGCTGGAGGACACTCAGCATATAAAGAACATTATTCTTTTTTAATAACTGTTTTGGTCACGGTGATGATCTACTGCTACCCAGCTGCTGCCCATGTGGAAAGAATAACGGAGGCAGATGAAAGAGAGGAAGGCTTATATCCTACATTATACAGTGAGCTGTTTTAGATCCGCACGTAAACCTGCACATTTTTTCAAATTCATCGGTTTAATAAACAGATTAAAATGAAAAACTAATAATCTGCAACGTTATGCAAGAACAAAACCTCACTCATTATTTTTTAATAATACACGCACACAACAACAACAACAAACAAATCTTTTTCACACCATAGACTCTCTGTAGACCATGTGACACTTCCCACAACCTGCTAAGGGAGAGAACGTAGCTCCACAGTCGAGCATCTGTCATTAGACAAGGTTGACCAAACCCAACAAAATGTAATGTGACTTTAATGTAACAGCCTGATATTTCAGCTGGGGGGCAATGAACTGTGACAGGCAGAGTAAGGGGTGTTATCAGTGAGTCTGGTGAAATTACTGCCTCACATACACCAATCATCAGTCAGGATCTAGCTGATGTCTCTGAAAACCAAAAGGTGATGATGATGAAAAAGTAATTAGGCAAGATGATTCATAAAGCAAAACATGATCACAAACCAACCTAAACTTTTAAAACACCAGCAATGCATTATAAATATTTCTGTCTCTGTGGGCGACTTGTGGACAACTTTCTTGAACCAAAAATTGTGTGTTAAAGTATAAATCACAAGTCAAGCTTCATTAATATTCTACAGTTTTGGCATCTTGAGTCATTTGCTCATTAGATTCCTGTCACACGGGTGAACTGGTAGGCTGTGCTGCAGACATGTAGAGAGAGAAAAATAGAAAAAGGTTCTTATGTTTACAGCTGCAGTTCCACAATATAATAATCTCATGCCCTAGTGATAGGCTTTGCACATTTTGCTACTCTGCACTATAAACATTCAAATGTACCAACTTTAAATAGAGAAATAATAAACAAATAACATAAAAATATCATTTGAAAACTTTTCAATTCCTTTTTTTATGTGGAAAATATTGTTCAAAAGAGTAATGGTGTTTTAAAGCCGCATGAATTGATAACAATGCATTCTTTTGGCTAAAGAAGCATTAAAGATGCAGTTTATGTTCTTCCATTCTATCAAGAAATGTGGTTTAATACTTTTTTGTTATTTTGAGTACTGGAGATGGTCTAAAGATTAATCTGTTCTCCGATTATTGTCTATGAAATGTGGCTATGGTCTTTCTACTGCAGGCAAAATGTTAGTCAGTGTTCTTCAAAGGCAGACCTTCAACCTTGGTAATAAAACTTCCAGTGGATTTAAAATTGGCTCAGCAGAATAAGAAGGATTTTTAAAAGCATTTAAAAGTTTCCATCTCAGAGAAAATTCATGGGGATAGAACATTCCTGTTATGAAAAGCAACACATTCTGCGTCAGGCAGGTCCTCGCCCAACAGTTTAATTGGTTAACATTTGAGTTGTAATCCCAGGTGTTTTTTTCCCCTGCGGGCTGTGGATTCTAACATGGGGGTTTAAAGTTAACTGTGCTTGTATGATCTGAACAGAAGGTACATTTATAGTAAACACTAGCCTCTGATGTTACTGCAGATACTCCGTCCCATGTGGTCAGTAAGAGCACAACACATCACATGGCTCTGTCGAAACCACAACAGCTTTTAAGACTCTGTATTCCTGATAAACAGAAAATGAACAGCAACAACATTGATTTCCCAGCAATATGTAATAATGGAAAGATACATCTAACGTGCATTACAGGAGGGGGCATTTAAAGGTGCACAGTGTTCTGTTAAATGCTTTAAGAGCCCACAGAACATCCGTCTGCAGTAATACGCATTAATACATTTTCATTAAAGTTGACTGTGTTATATATTGAGATGGCACAGGAGGACACTGCAATTTCTACTTGACCTTTAACACTCTCACTATTTAATGGACAAATGGTGGATGTTGGTGCCTCTCACCGACCACAATCCCATAGTGACCTTATTGAGCCCCATGGAAAATGTGTTGAGACTTTATAAAGTAAATATCAATAATTCACAAGATAAATATTATGTAATATTGTGGGGGTGATGTTGTGCTCTTGACATAATTTTGACAATTACATTGTGTATTGAATTACTCTGCTGGCTCATCTGGCATGAGCTAATGAAGGTTTCATCTTGGCCCAGAACAAAAAAACACAGAGCAAAGGTGCTGAAATATGAGAGCACCACTTGCATAATGTCTTTCTACATTTTCCTTTTCTCCTCCCTTCCTTTCTTTCCTTCTCCTTAGGTGTATCCTGTCAAAGTAAAGGGCACATCCACCCAACCTTTCACTTATGCATCCACCCACACATATGCTCGCTGACTAGTGTGTAGTGTAACAGCTAATGGTATGTCGCACTTTAATATGCACAAAGCTGGAAAGAACCGCTATGAACCAAGAAGCAGGTTTTAGTTAGAGGCTTTCACTGTATGTAGTTTGTGTGTGGTTGATTCATTTATGCATCGGGATAACACGGTGAAAGCTTATCTCAGTAAACACTTAATGTTCCAAAAAGAGGGCAAAGAGAAGGAAAAATTTTCTTAAGTAAATCAAATGACTTACTCCATGCAGGTTGATCCTGAGTCCCACCGAGGGGTGTCTTGTCTTGTCTGTTTGTTTTAAGTGAGAAGAAGTGAGTGGATGGAGGTGGTTCAGCAAGACATCACACACATAAAAACACACACTTTCCAAAGTGCCAAAGGCAGAGAATACCACATATTGTATTTTTTTGTATGCATTAAAACCCTACATACCTCTTTTATATAGCGCCCAGAGTAAGATAGGATCTCCTTTAGAATAGCAGCTCATTATTTCTGAACTGGGGCAATATGGCCTATGACTCATCCTGCTGTGTCTGTCTGCGTGATGAAGTAATAACCCAATCCTTTACTTACATCTTGGACTGTGTCAGGCAATTAGGTTCTCTGAAGGAAGGGACTTTTCTTGAAAGGGATGGAAGGTACGTCGATTAGGATAATTTGAGATATTAAGATGAGGGGCTACCAGAGAGAGCCACTTCATATAAGAACAAAAAATACAAGACAAGCAGCAGACTCCAGGTGATGTATCAGTAGAAGATGCCGTCCAAACCAAACTGAAACCAACATCACTCTATATTTTTGAAGAAAGGCTGTAATTTTGACCAAACTCACATGTACAAACCTCTCACAAGCCCATATGACTTGGCCAACGCAAGTGAAAGATGAATATCGCTGGCAAACACTATGATATCAAAAAGCACAGCAAGAGACATACATTACATATAAATTCCAATTAATTTCCTTCTCTGAAAAAGACAGAGGGGGAGAGGTAAGCAGCTGAATCCCCTGTGCAAATAAAACACAGCAGACAGATATTATAACTTCTTGCTGCTGCCAAGCACTGTTGGAGGATTAGCAGTGACATGGACAGTAAAGCTTTGTCACAACACTACTGAAGTTCCAGCAAGACTCATAATCTATGTTTAGCTTTAATTTATTAACCTCATTAAAGGAATAGTTTGGCATGTGGGAATTACATGTATTCACTATCTTGTCAATAGTTAGATGAAAAGTTAAGCCTCGATCTGTCCATCAGTAACAACATCCACCCATTAGCACCTCTGGAGTCTTGGCGTCACCATTGCCAGTCCAACAGTGGTTGTATAATGTGTTAGTGAGCTTTAGACGGTGGACGGTGTTTGGACAGAGCCAGGCTAGCTGTTACCCTCTATTTCTAGTCTTTATGCTAAGCTAAGCTAACAGGCTGCAGACTGTAGCTTAATTTGTTAACACACAGGCATGACAGTGGCAACAATATCTTCATCTTAATCTTGGCAAGAAAGAAAGTGTGCAGCTTATGCGGTGACAGGTGACTTCCCCCTATTTTTATTCATTTCAGGTTTCACATTAACCCCAAAGACTTATAATACCATTGACTGATCGTTCTGTACTGACTGTCAGCGGGGCACATCTTCCCTCCTTTACTGTGACACCGACACCAGGCTGCAGGGACCCTGCTGGGTATGCCAGGCCTTTAAGTAGTGTCATGGAAAGTTTCACCCTGTGGGACGTATAGGGAGGCTTCTTATTAGTGCTGACATCCCAATGAAGCAATTGAAGATTCAAAAGTTTATATAAATAATAAAAAAATATGGACAGCAAAGAATAGCAAAGAGTGATTGTACCAAAAGTATTCAGCAAAAGCAAAAAGTTAGTAAATGGCATTCTGCA